GTATGATAAGGCAATGGTTAGAGAGTATAAAGTTCTCTGCTCCTGTTGAGTGCACTTCTCTGATTACTCGGATAGCAAAAGGGCTAGGGGTCGTTAGCGACCAAATTGCTTTTATCTCAGCCGCTCGTCCGCATATTGATGAGGCTTATCTAGTGCAAGGGCATATTCTGAAACATGGAGTAGATGGATCTTTGATTTACTTTTCCCTGGTTGTACAAATGAAATCCCGTTGCCAAATGTGGGGTATCATTTGTACAACTGCCATGAACTAACCATTCCCCTACAGACCATAGAGGAATCTCGTGCAAGTGGAGCATACAAGGAGACATGCAACATGACAAGGAACGAATGAGAAAGTTCATTATCCTCAACACCCGTACAGATGTATGAGGCAGGATGGGCACCAACAGGGGATGCACCCGGATGGACCCAAGCTCCACGCCATAGCATCGGAGTCTCAACCTGGGCAAGTGCCAGTGAGGACCGGTGGCATGCGCCTCATGACATCCAATGGGGGGACAATCAACCCTCCAGATCAAGTGGTGTGCATCCATCTCCAAGTGAATGGCGCTTGAGTTCCTCTCGTTGGGACTTGGGTGAAATCACTAGGAGAATGGACACCCTTAATGTGCAGATGGGGGAGATCCAGTACAACCTCACGGAACACATAGCTCAAACGCAAGAATGGCAACAATCTGCTGATGCTCAGTTCGCCAACATCTACAACATGATGCAGCAACAGCACGATAACCTTCAGGCGTACTTTCGTTTTCAGGGGTTCAATCCTTATCAAGGACCCTGAGCGAAAGCCAAACTTGTATCACATTGCATATTTCCCTTTCCAATTGCATATTTGCTTTCCAATTGCATCCTATAAAACTTAAAAAAAAACAACATCAAAATTTGCAAAATAGAAAATACCAAAAACATAGGATAGGTTTGCGTCATGCTAGGTAAGACAAGCTAGTTCTCTTGGTTGAAATGATGAATAGTTGCTCTGTTTTATATCTCTGATATGGGTTCTTGGTAAGTGCTCTCTCAAAGGTTAAATATAAGTAGCCAACAATTATCCAGGAACCTGAGGTAAATGGATTGCACTTGCTGATCTAAGTCTAAGTTGTTGCGAGATATGAGATAGTAATATGAGTTGATATGATCCTGATACTAGTTTGACTTGAATTCCAGATGTTTTGTTTTTCAAAATGATAAAATTGAAAGTTCCTCTTTTGATATAAATTCCTACCAGAGCCAAAAAATATGTTATCATGGTTAAACCATATACATTTTGGTTACTTGTCATTCCATTGAACTTTGTCAAACTCTTGTGACTTGTATAGATACTTCTCATGCTCTATGATCAAGATCATACACCCACATTTATGCATATGCTAAACTCCTACACTGGGAGCTAAGCAATATTCCATTCCATTTCCATATTACCATCAAAATAAATTCTTCATGCTTTCATGTGCTTTCTTCTCCTAAAAAGAAAAAAAAAAGAAGGGAGGGAAAGGCATGGTTATGAAAAATAAAGTTATGCTCCATCAAGCATAAGCATGATGATGCAAAAAAAAATCGTAGCCATGCCCTCTCCTAATCAATAAAAGAAGGATTTTTAGGAGAAGAAAGTAAGCACAAAGGGGAAGCATTTTTCTTTTATTTTTTCCTCATATACCATTTCCACTATATACCACACACACATTTTGCACGATCTTGATCTTGAGTATGTTTAGTTATCTGCTCTAGTTTAAGTTTTTGACTCAGTAATAAATGTAAATGCAAGTATGTCATGTTTGATCCCTACCAAGCTCCACATATCAAACCTTAGAGTAGGAATCGAAAAGGCAGCATTTGGTGAGGAATTCATATTGATACACTTAGAGAGATTGAGTGAATCAATTGAGGAACTTGGCTTTCTTTTGGAAAATCATTTGAAAACTTCCGGAATAAAAGTTGAATAAAGATTGGATGATTGGTACTCTAAATTGTTGTTCTGTATTTCAACCGCCCAAGGCAAGGAGAAGCAGTGTCTCGTAGGAATCAGGGGTAAGGGTAAGCCACCGTGCCAAAGATTATTTAATCTGAGAAAGAGTACATATACCTTGCACCTGTATCTTTGAGATATGCAGCATAGTAGTAACACCTGATCAACAACCAAGTCTTTGTTTCCTTTCGTCCTTCACTCGGGACGAGCAAAGGTTCAAGCTTGGGGGGTTTTGTTGACGGTCGTTATCGATCAGTTTCGACCGTCAATATTACCAAAATAGAAGATAACTAGTGATGCTTGCAATGCATAAATATGTTAGAATAATAATATTCCACTTGCAATGCATGAATAATAATATGTTAGAATGACAATAAAGTGGAGGAGAATCGACATCAAATCAGACGATAAATCAATCGGACGATGTCGAGAACTAGACTTATGTATGAATGGGCCAAGAACTCAGAATTGACACGATGAATTGGGGCAAAATTCACAAGTCTACAAAGTGAAGCAATAGAGGAGGCCGCCAGCCGAAGATGGGCCTGGAAGGCCCAACCCATGATTCGGCCGAACCTCTGGCACCATTGAATGTAGGGTTCAGCGTGGACGTCCAGGATTGCATCCCAATGACGGTTGGAGGGCACTTCGGACAATTCCCCTTCCACAACCGTCATAACCACCTCTATATAAAGACTTCACTCTCTTCCCTTCAACACACACCTCAAGCAATAGCTCTCTGATTTCTCTCAAGTTTAGTTTAGTAGTATCTAGCTGGTGGAATAGGAATATAGTAGAAATCAGGAGTCCAGAAGCCGTCGGAAGAGTTCGGGTATGGCTCTAGCAGCTTTCCTTTCCTCTTTTGTAAGCTTTGTACTTTTATTAGAATACTCTTCTAAATACATCTATGGTATTGAAATACTTTCAAAGTATATGAGTACCTACTTTACATTATGTTCATGTTATACTGAATATACAGCTTGCTTATCTTGGAGATGCTTTGGTGCGGGTATAATGTTTGCTTATGCAATTACTCTATGTCATGACGTGATATTAGAGTAGTATTTGGTAGTTTAGACGTGGTGTTTAGATTACGGGATATCATTATTTGGGGTTATATATTGCGGATGAGAGGTGGGCCGCTGATGGTGACAGCTCAGTACGAGTATTCCTCCACGCCGGCATATAATCCTAAGTTAATTCCCTGGGAGGGTATTCCTCCGTATTTAACCCTGGTTGTATGGTCATGACGGGCTGTTGTAAGAAACTCGGCAATCAGGGGTGGCTTCTTGAAGTACCAGGAGGGCATCAGATAGAGGGTATTAGCTAGTATATCAGTTAACTAGAATGTATGTATATTATGTATATTAGAAGTATAGGAATAGATTCTCTTTCTCTTTTCTTTCCACTTAGCTCAGATAATATATTATGAGAATGAGTAGTAATGCTTGTGTGTCACTCTACCCTTGGATTATCTTAACCCCTGTTTAGAATATGATTATCATAAGTAATATATAAATTATTAGTTGAGTTCTCTCTGCATGATCTTCCCATGTGATAAAATAAATACGATACCCTTGGAATACTCTCGGGTAAAATGTTACAATGGTATATCCGTGCGCTTGTGGATGAACTCTGTAACCATAATATACCAGGAGTATTTCTGCGCCATTGCTGGGAATTATATTTCTAGTAATGTCGTTAAGAAATACCAACACTGAGCTATCTCCAACTCATTCAATGCCTTCCAACAGTAGTAAATATTTGTAGTTTTATAGTACCATTGTCATTTGGCACATCCGCATTCCGACTTGGTCAGTTGTTTTTTGTTTCAACTCCTTGCAAATATATTGAACAAAAATGCACACATTCTTGCAAAATATATGCCTCAACTATCGATCCTTCGGGGCGAGCCTTGTTTTTTACAAATGACTTCAATCTACGTAAAAATCTTTCAATGGGATACATCCATCGGTACTGAACTGGTCCACCAGCAATAGCTTCCTGGGCTAAATGAATTGGTAGATGCATCATTACATCAAAGAACGAAGGAGGAAATATTTTCTCCAATTTACATAGAGTAATAACAACTGAGGATTCAAGCTTTTTTATGTTTTTAACATCTAACTTCTTGGAGCAAATTTCTCTAAAATAGTTACATAGCTCAATTATAGCCTCACAAATATGTGGAGGTAGCACTCCACGAATGGATAATGGAAGGTATCTGTGCAAAAATGCATGACAATCATGGCATTTCATCCATGATATTTTACCATTTGTTGCATCCACATAATGTGACACTTTTGAAGAGTACCCATCCGACACTTTAATTTCCCTAAGGAATACAAAATGCTCTCTTTTCTGCTAGTGTCATTGTAGCATGCCGGACAAAATAAATACTTGCCATCATCAGTTGGAGTTGCACGAAGTTCACTCTGTATTTTCATGAGTCCCAAATCAAAGCGGGATTTAATGTTATCCTGTGTCTTTCCTTCTAGATTTAACAAGGTACCCACAATACTATCACACACATTTTTTTCTATGTGCATTCATATTTTTACTCCCGCCCTTTTGACGTTTTTATTTGGCTATAAAAGGCTACCCATCTACCCCTGCCACCTACACAGTACACACTAAGGCCCTGTTTAGATGGGACTAAAACTTGTAAGTCCCTATCACATCAGATGTTTGAAAATTAATTATAAATATTAAACGTAGACTGTTAATAAAACCCATCCATAATCTTGGACTAATTTGCGAGACGAATCTAATGAGCCTAATTAATCCATGATTAGTCTATGTGATGCTACAGTAAACATTCTCTAATTATAGATTAATTAGGCTTAAAAAATTTGTCTCGTGAATTAGCTTTTATTTATGTAATTAGTTTTGTAAGTAGTCTATATTTAATACTCTAAATTAGTGTCTAAAGACCAGGGACTAAAAGTTAAGTTCCTGGATGTAAACACCACCTAAACACACAACCAGAACCGAAGCACCTACATTTACTGCGCATACCCAGTTTGTAGGTCAAGGTAAATATTCCTGTTCCCTAGATCGATACTCCTACTCCAACCCTCCAGAAGTCCACAATCTTTAACTACTCTGTAGAGTAGATTGATTCTTTAATAATTCGACACAGCCCTAGTCCCTAGACTCCTAGAGTAGATTGATTCCAGCTAGACTCTTTATTTTTTCCACACAGTCCTAGATCGATTCCATCTCTTATTATGTGGGAGACTTCATGCCGCCGGCGTTCAGGTGGTGCGGCTGTGCCATGGTGCGGTGGTGATGCCCTGCAGCCTGCTCGCGCTGCAGTCGCTTGATCGCTACAGATCGACTTGCTCGGTTGCACGGTGCATAGATACCAACGGATCGATCTTTCATTCATTATCATGCTTACTTTTTTCCCTACTTGTGTTCTTATAAATCTTTTACTGCATATGTAATTTGTTATGTCTTCTTATCCATAGATTAATGTTCTTTAATCTTTATTTCCTCATCAGCTCCTTCTTTGATCTCTATTGGGACAGACTGCATGCTTCTGTTTATACTCGACATTTAATTCCATAGGACATTCCTTTAGATCTGTTCATATTCAGTATTTAATTTCATAGGACATTCCTTTGAATATGTTTATACTCATTTTTGCATTCCGTAGGATAACATGGTTTCCCAAGTTTGCCAACCCACCAATCAGTTGGAGAACTCGAATGACGTCACGCAACAACGGAAATGGAAGGATTCGACTCATCAACACAGATTTCGATATAATATTTGAGTTGTTTTATGGTATCCATTTATTTTTGTTTTCTTCGCATGCACGTTTGTAAATGTACAAAAACTCAAACTATATTTCCTTTTTCCTTTAAATAGGTATTAATCATCGGAGACCTCGCAGTGTTACAGTTAACACGGCACTTACAAAACTCAGAGCAAGAGGCGTACCACTAGATATTCACTTTCCTAGACAATTTGGCAAAGTATGTGGTAGGCATGCTAGCTTTAAAAGTGAGGTCACTGTTTGCGTAAGGCAGGAAGCTCCTCTCAAGGTGAAGAAGTGGAAAAACATTGAAAAAGCTTTTCATGGAACCTCGTCTTCAATCTGGACTTCGTTGATGGTCTATCAGAAACATAGCTTAGTTTTTTCATATAATTTTGTTGTCTCTTGCATTACTAATCTAGCATGACATGATGATGTAGGGGAAGTTCCCTGAGATCTCACTAGATGACTATGAATGTGTCATGGCACAAGTTGAGAGGCAGTACAATATCAGACGCTACAATTGTACAGGACCTACCGCACAACAAAAGTGCCCCCAATTCATGTTGCACCTGAAGATTGGCAGTGGTTGATTGATAACTTATGGAGTGATGAGCAATTTCAGGTACATATTTATATTTTTTACACAGTTTCATATGTTTCAATATTAATAGTTAATCAACTTTTTCATAGAAGCGAAGCAAACAAAATTCTATAAACAAATCAAAGCAAGAGATGAAGTCACTTATTGGAACAAAGTCTATAGTGCGAATAGCATCTGAACTGGTGAGAAACTTTTGACCAATTATATTTTCTATAGTTAAACTATTTTTGGCATCAAACATGTGTAATATATACTTAATTTATATGCACTGTAATTGTAGAGAAACCCTGAGACTGGTGCATGGCCTAGTGCTGTTGATGTTTGGAGAGCAATCTATATGAAGGCAAATGGGACATGGTCTATTCCCAATGGAGCAGAAATACTGGTATATATTAATATTAGTTCATTTGACAATGGGACATGGTCTATACACAATATTTAGAATTATTCGCTTACCTCTTACTCTTCAATGTGCACAGAACAATCTTGAGGAAGCAGCTGAAACACACAAGGAAAGGATTGCTGCTGCTCCAATCCCATTGGCTGAGCATTTTGCTCTGGTTCTTGGTAGAAAGCCAAACCATTCGCGTAGTGTTGGCATTGGTGCAGTCAACCAAGGGGCTAAAGAAAGGTATAGGATTCATGCACGAGCTGAGGCTGCTGACCAACGTGCTAGTGATGCACAAAACCAAGCAGCTGCATTGCTAGAAAAAGTTGAGAGATTGACATAGGCGAACAATCAATTGCGTGATGAGCTGCGGTTTCAACGTGAAGAGCTAAATTCTCAGAAGAAAACTGTTGAGGAACAAAGTGTTGATATGGAATGTTTGATGGACCAGAAGCTGGAGGAAACAATGAATAGAATGCTGGCTCACATGGGCGCTGCTGGTGCTGCTTCTTCCATTCCTTCATCCTTTACAAGTACAACAACCAACTAGGTAAGGTTACCACAAAACATTACTATTAATAGGGTTAGTTTACTTATTCAATAGATTACAATGGTCATCTCTTTGATGTTTTTGTAAATGCAGGATGTGGGAAATCGACAACATATCACTTTCATCTAGGCGAGCATCCGATGAGTCAGCATCGATATTATCTTCAATTCTTCATTTAGATGTCATTTTGATTTATATATTTAGATCAAAGTGCTCTTTCTGTTTGAGCACATTTTTCTTTCTACAATAAAGGGTATTTTTTTCAGAGTTATAAAGGGTAGTTGGAGTACTGCTAGTGCTCATTTATGTGTACTGCATTTTGCTCTACACTTTTCTTATAGCATTGTAATCTTTCATCAATAAAGGATGCTCTGAAATCGATATTTCATATGTTCTATTATTATTGTTATAGATTTGCAAGAATATATATAGTTTTCCTCGAAAATGCTTCGAGCTGTTTAGTTGGTTTCCCAAATAAAATAAAAAAAATGTAAATTGATCTATAAAACATGAAAAAAAATCAAATTGGTTAATTTGGCAAAAAGTTAATTAATTATATGAAAAATGTCACTCTTTACGTACACTATAGTGATAAGAATGCTTTGCCATACCTACAATTTTTTAACCACGAATATGTCATCTGATTTGCGGAAAAAACTAGGCAAAATTTGCTACAGGACACTTAAAAAACGTGTAATTGGCTGAGAGACACCGCAAAAACGAGACACGGTTGATGGACACTACAAAAATTGTGTAATTGGCTATAGGACACCGAAAACAATATTTTATAATATCCGGGTCAAAAGTGGTAAGAAATTTTTCGAAATGGCAAGATTGCCCCGGGCTCCATCTTCCTCCACCTGAAATCACACCAAAAGAAAAATAGCAGGGAGCAGCCGCCGGCGAGGTTGTCCACGGCAGGAGCGGGTAGCGACGACCGCGTGCCAGGAGCGGCCGATGGCGCGGAGGTGGACGCGGTCGGGGAGGGAGCGCGAGGGCGGCGGCGTGGAGCGCGAGCAGGAGGTGGCTGCGCGCGAGGCCGGCGGCGGCGAGCACGAGCAGGAGGTGGCCGTGCAGAGAAAAGAATGTTCATTCTTCTGATGAAAATCTGTGTCAACAGGAGAGGAGATCAAGCTCAGAACTACTCGATTAACACCTAGGCTCAGCCGGAGGAGGAGCAGAAGGGCGTCCACGGCGGCGGCGGCGGCGCCGGAGCGCAGGTGGAGGCCAGGGTTCTGGGATTCGGACCGAGTGGGCCGAAATTCGGTGAATTTCGCCCATTTCGGCGCGGCCCGAGACAACACTAAACCGGTCAAAAAATTTCGGCCCAATTTTTGGGGATTTTGAATAGAAGGAGCGGTGTGAAGCCAATTCCACAATAACCAGACCATTCCAAAGTATCCAGGTGATATGAATATTTCCCAAAGTCTATAGTTGAAAAACCACCTAATGTTACCTAATTAAATTGCGAAGCATCTACCTAAAATTATACTAGTGGTACCATGAGTAGAGTGTCCACTAGTTGGGGTTTTGTTTATTCTAGGGTGAACAAGGTAATAATAACAATAACAATAATAATAAGGTCATAACAAAGGTAGATAGGCATGGCTAAATAAAACAGTGATAACGCGGGAATTTGAATAAAGCGATAATGCAATAATTTAAAACAACATAATTTTATAAACTGGGATTCAATATGTTCAAGGATGATGTGACTTGCCTTGCTCGCTTTCCCAAACGTCGGCTTCAACTTCCACGAAGAGCGGATCTTCCGAAGCTGCAGCGTCTACACGACCAACGGGAAAGAAAAGGCTTTTACTCTAACAAACTCCATATAACAAGCAAAAACAAAGCACAAAAATGGGTTCTTGACTTCTTAAGGAAAAATTAGAGACTTGAACGGTCCAATTCCGAGTTCAAATGGCCAAGTTATGGCCATTTGAAGTTTATATGCTCTTTAAATGGATATTTGCGAATTTCTTCATTTAATTTTTAATTTAAAATCGGATTTATTGCGTCAGCCGAGGGGAGGGGCGCGCGGACCGGGTCCACGGGAGTGGGGCCCACGCGGCAGCCTCACGGTCCACGGTGGACCGGGTGCACGCGGCTTACGCCGGTCGGCGCCGTGGGTCCCACGCGTCAGCCGCACCCGAGGGCGCGGGCGGCTGACGGCCGGGCCCCACCTGGCAGCCGCGGGGCGCGCCCGAAGGCGGCCTCGCCGGCACGGCCGACGGGAGGCGGCGCGCCCGCGCCCCGATGGTCGCCGCCGGCGACCACCGACGCAGCGGAGCGGCGCCCGAGAGAGGGGAGGGAAGGGGGAAGCGAAAGGGGCGGTCCACGGCTCACCCCGGGTCGACGAGGACGGCGAGAACGACGACCGGAGTGGAGGAAGGCGGCGGCGCGGCTCGGGTCGACGAGGACGGCGGTGTTCCGGCGGTCGGCGGGCGAAACGGAGGAGTGGACGAGGTCGGCGAGGACGCGGCGGAGCCGAAGGAGGCGATGCCGAAGCGGGACGAGGTCCGGGGCGACGACGGCGGCGGACCGGAGCTCGGCGGCGACGGCGGAGAGAGAGGGCGACGGCGCGAGCTCGAATCCGACGGGGAGAGAGAGCGGCGAGTGGCGGAAACGGAGGAGGGAGGCACGGGGAGCGCTTATATAGCGTTGGGAGTGAGAGAGGGCGGCCGGATGAGGGGGAATCGGCCGCGGAAGATTCGGCCGCCATTGATGCGCCGGCGAGGTTCGCGGGAGTAAATCCGAACGAATCCGAGGGAGAGAGAGAGGGAAAAGAGGAGGGAAAGGGGGAGGGAATCACGGGGAGTGATTTCCCCTTCTTTATTGCGCGCGGGGACGGCGGGATGCGGCGGAATCCGCGGCGGCGGCGGCGCTAGGGCACGGGCGAGGCGACGGGGGCGGCGCGAGGTAGGGGATGACGGGTGGGCCCCACCCGTCAGCGAGGGTGGCGGGCGGGCCCGCCCGTCAGCGGCGCGCGCGCGGGGAGGGGGCCTGATGGGCCGCGGGGGAGAGGAGAGAGAGGGAGGGAGCTGGGCCGAGCCGGCCCAAGAAGGGAAGGGGGGAAAAGAAGACTTTTTAGGGTTTTTCTTTTTATAAAACCTTTTTAACTTTGTTTATTTCTTCTTAATTATTATTGGTGCTCTGAAAATTCCACTAAAATTTATTTACACATTTTAGGCTTTTAGGAAATATACAAAAATCCTCCAAGCCTTATTTGACTTTTATCTTTGCACATTCTAATTGTTGGAGGCTTTCACATGGATTTTAATTATTCTCGGCATAATTTTGAGGATGTATTTTAGAGTCGTTTTGGGACGCGACAAACCTACCCCCCTTAAACGGAATCTCGACCCCGAGATTCGGAAGAACTGGCGAAGAGATCGGGATGGGCTGCCTTCAGCTCGTCTTCACGCTCCCAGGTAGCTTCTTCTTCGGCGTGGTTGCTCCACTGGACCTTGCAAAAACGGATTACCCGGTTCCTGGTCCCGCGTTCCATGGTGTCCAGGATTTTCACTGGCCTCTCCACATAGGTCAAGTCTTCGCGAACTTCAATTTGCTCTGAGTCGGCCTGCTCGGATGGCACTCGAAGACATTTCTTGAGTTGCGACACATGGAACACATCATGCACGTTGCCCAAAGAGGCGGGCAGCTCCAGCCGATATGCGACTTCTCCGCGCCGAGCAATGATACGGAAAGGACCCACATACCGAGGTGCGAGCTTCCTCTTTGTCTGAAACCTGTGTACACCTCGCAATGGCGTGACCCGAAGATACACAAAGTCATCCACTGCGAATTCCAGATCACGGCGACGGTTATCTGCATAACTTTTCTGCCGGGACTGTGCCACCTTTAGATTATCCCGAATGGTTCTGACCTTCGCTTCAGCTTCTCTCAGGATATCGGTCCCGAACACTTGGCTTTCGCCAGCTTGGTCCCACAATAGCGGTGTCCGGCACTTGCGCCCATACAACGCTTCATAGGGTGCCATTTGTATGCTGGCTTGATAGCTGTTATTGTAGGAGAACTCGGCATAGGGGAGACTCTTATCCCAGGTCTTCCCGAAATCTAGGACACATGCGCGAAGCATATCTTCTAGAATCTGATTTAGACGCTCGGTCTGTCCATCTGTCTGCGGGTGATACGCGGTGCTGAAATTTAATCGGGTACCCAGCTCTTCTTGGAGCTTCTTCCAAAAGTGAGAGGTGAATTGGCTTCCCCGATCAGATACGATTTTCTTGGGAACGCCATGGAGACTCACGATCCTAGCGAAGTAGAGCTCGGCTAGTTTGTTCCCTCCATAGGTGGTCTTCACAGGAATAAATCGGGCTACCTTGGTTAATCGATCCACAACTACCCATATAGAATCATATCCACCTTGGGTTTTTGGAAGTCCGGTGATGAAATCCATCCCAATTTCATCCCATTTCCATTCCGGTACTTGGAGAGGTTGGAGAAGCCCGGCCGGTCGTTGGTGCTCTTCCTTGACACGCTGGCACACATCACAAAGGGCCACGAACTCTGCAATTTCTCGCTTCATACTAACCCACCAGTATTTCTCCTTCAAGTCTAGATACATCTTCGTACTGCCAGGGTGGATGGAATAAGGACTTTCGTGAGCTTCCTGAAGTATCAGCTGTTTAAGTTCTCTGTTATCTGGAACGCATACCCGATTTCCGTTCCATAGGGTTCCGTGTTCATCCTCTGTGAAACCAGCGGCTTTACCCTGTTTCATATTCCTGAGGAGTCCATGCATGTCCAGGTCATTCTTCTGAGCCTCGCGGATTTGATCGAGCAAGGTGGGCTTGGCTTCCAACGCAGCCAAAAATCCGCGACCAACTATGCTTAGGTTCAGGGCTTCCATCTGTTGATTAAGTTCGGGTGGAACGCCACGGATGTTAAGAGTGTTGCAATGGCTTTTTCGACTTAGGGCGTCGGCGACCACGTTGGCCTTACCAGGATGATAGTGACTTCCCACATCATAATCCTTGATGAGTTCTAACCATCTCCTTTGCCGAAGATTCAGATCCGACTGGGTGAAGATGTATTTCAAACTCTTATGATCAGTATATATTTCATAGCGATTCCCAATGAGATAGTGCCGCCAGATTTTTAGAGCATGAACCACAGCGGCTAACTCCAAATCATGGGTAGGGTAATTGCCTTCATGAGGCCGTAGCTGGCGTGAGGCATAGGCCACCACATGACCGTCCTGCATGAGCACGCACCCCAATCCTTGGCGCGAAGCATCATAATACACCACGAAATCCTTGCGAGTATCTGGCAAGATTAGCACTGGTGAGGAAACCAGCTTTTCTTTGAGAGTTTGGAACGCCTTTTCACATTGCGGGCTCCACACAAACTTCTCTTCTTTCTTCAACAACTGTG